ATCTCCCCAAAACCCCAAAACCCCAAAACCCCACTTATATAATAAAACTTGAATATGAAAGCATGCCTTTTGGTACTAGTAGGAGTACTAGTGGGATTGTGTGTGGGAGATAGGGTTATTGGCACTGGAGAGGAATGATATGACTGAGCGAGAGGGGAAGGAAGAGTCTGTGTTTATAGAGATGTAAGTGGAGGGATTAGGGGAAGTTTGTGATCATTTTTAGGAGGATGGATTAAGTCCTATTGGGAATTCGAGAAGGATCTGATGAAGTCAGTTTGATTATATTGGGAGATGAGGAAGTAGCCATACTGTTTGCACAGATAAAGCTGCGGATGTTGCAACACTAGGTAGAGATTATCTTCTTTGAGATGAATATAACACTTGTGAAAACTATAAGTATTATGCAGTTAATTCAGAATTTTCAACTGAGAAAATAGCTTCGATTGCTGAATTCGAAACCTGTATTCTAAAATTATACAACCATGGCTCTGAAAGTACTGAGATAATTTTGAAAGATGCTGTTGCTGAAGGTATGACTGTTTACATGTATTCAAAGGATAGCTCAGATTCTTATAATTTTACTTACCAAGGTTCTATCACTGATGGTAAAAATGAAATGGCGCATTTGGTCGTTGATGAAAATCTGCCTGTGTATTTTGTAGTAATCCCTGATTCAAAAGAAAATTCTTTATCTTTTAGTTTTAAAGCTGTCCATTCTAGAAAAGATGACTCCTTACTAACCCTAATGGTAGTATTTGGATCAGTGGGAGTCTTTTTATTTTTTATGTGAGGGTTTTGCTGTTTCGTAAGATGGAAAAAGAGGCGAAGTGATAGAAAAGCTTTAAAAGGATCATCAGATTCAAGCATTCCTCTAAACTTGTCTCACAGTAATTATCATCCTGGAAGAACTACTCTTTCTTTTGAGTATGTTGAAGACAAGCCCATTGAAAATAAAGTGATTTTTAGTCAGAGAAATAATAAAAACACTCCAGAAGGCCCTTATTCTGTCCCTTCCTACCAACTAGACACAGAGGATGATCCAAATGCTCCACTAATAAATTCTAACGAACCTATCTCCTTCTCTACAAACCTCGACACCGGAAGCGACTATTACATTAACCCTATCGATCAAGACTCCAAAAATCAATAAAATCATCCCCAAGGCTACTTTTTACTAATGAGTTATATTTTTGACCCGACGTCTCCCATTCAATTAATCATTGGATACTTGGGGTTTTGGGGTTTTGGGGTTTTGGGGTTTTGGGGTTTTGGGGTTTTGGG